ATCTCCCATCATGCAGGGTGCATTCGCACCTCCACAGATCTCCAGTATCAGCTCTTGACACTGGTAATGGCTTAAAATGGCCACCACTTACGGGCTATTTATGCCCGTGCCACCTTTTGGGTTGCTTCATCTTCATCTTAACACATTCACAAGGGAGACATCTCCCGTCATGCAGGGTGCATTCGCACCCCCACAGATCTCCAGTATCAGCTCTTGATACTGGTAATGGCTTAAAAGGGCCACCACTTACGGGCTATTCATGCCCGTGCCACCTTTTGGGTGGCTTAATCTTCATCAATCAATCAATCAAGTGAAATGATCTTTGATCGCGAAACGACGACTGATGATGGAGAGGATAATTTTAAATAGACTTTTATATATGATAGGTGATCAGCTGCCTAGTAATTTGTTCGTGTTCCTCAGAGGCAAAAGTACCTCTGACTGTATCTCTAAATGTCTGTCTAATGATAATGATTACTATATAATTTGTATTGATTTACAAGGAACCTTTGATAAAGCTAACAAAGAAGTTATCTTTATAAACTAGCTGGTCTTGGAGTTAAAGGTACTATAGATTATTGCGCTGGACAGGGGATTATCTTCACGAAAGGAAGGCTCAGGTGTGGTATTAAGGTTGTATGTCAGGTGTGAGATCTTTTAAACTCGGCACACCTCAGGGAGGACTGTTGAGTCCCACCCTGTTTGATATACTAATGAAATTGAAATTGAAATAAGTTTATTGAGGTAAAATACACACAAAGGGATGAGGTAGCTCAATCTATTCTCACCCCGTTCAGTGCATCGTGTTCATACATACATAGACACACATCACAAACAATAAACATATTACCGAACATTCTGAGAGATAAACATATACATTTCCTCCTTTACACTCCTTTTGAGTGTAAAGAGGTAAATTTGAGTGTAAATTTCCTCCTCCTTGTGAACTGTGAACACCTCAGGGAGGAGTGTTGAGTCCCACCCTGTTTAATGTACTAATGAATAAAGTAGCGTCTGAGAGATACTCAAATGAAGTAACTGATCATATATGCCGATGTTATTTTGTTTCAGTGCAAAGATATTTCAAAGGTTGAAAAGGTGTTGGATAATTTCGGAAACCTGTGTCACCATATGGGACTGGTGGTTAATGAAGACAAAATTAAGTTTGAATGTACAAGTCGGAGGCCTATTATATTGAAAATAGACAGTAAAAATATTGAGAGTTAATATATATAAATATTTAGGTACATATGTTGGATATACCCATGAGGGTATACAGGTACTCTGAGAGAGAACTCTGTCAACATCAGAGGCCCGAGACTGTTCAACACGCTTCCACTACACATAAGGGGCATAGCTGGCCGACCCCTCACAGTGTTCAAGAGAGAACTAGATAAGCACCTCCAAAGGATACCTGATCAACCAGGTTGTTTCTCATACGTCAGGCTGCGAGCAGCCGCGTCTAACAGCCTGGTTGATCAGTCCAGCAACCAGGAGGCCTGGTCGACGACCGGGCCGCGGGGACACTAAGCCCTGGAAGCACCTCAAGGTAACCTCAAGGTAAAGGAGGGTTTGGAAGCCGAGATGAACAGACTGTTGGGTCAATGTGGGAAGAGATTACAACCTCTGAAGGCCTTGGCATGCTGTGGAAAGGGAGTGGGAGTCCCTGTGCTACGAATGATATACTTGAGTACCGTAAGATCCCTCATTGATTATGCTGTACTTGTCATTTCGTGTTTTGGTAAAGGTAGGATGGGCAAGTTGGAGAAAATTTGGTACAAAATGAAGCCATGAGAATGATCTCAGGATGCCCAAGAAATGCTATGATTAAGATGATTGATGAAGATTAAGCCACCCAAAAGGTGGCACGGGCATGAATAGCCCGTAAGTGGTGGCCCTTTGGAGCCATTACCAGTATCATTAGCTGATACTGGAGATCTGTGGAGGTGCGACCGCACCCTGCGGTGAGGTCGTGACCTCTCCTATGATTGAGATAATGAGGATGGAATTGAATCTAAAGTGTATTGGGGGATTGAATTTCAGAGATAAATGTAGCCTCTGCCATTAGATTAATAAAAGGTGGAGGAGATTAAGAATTAATCCTATTAGGTCAAAAATGGGAAGTAATGAACAATGTATGATAAAGTATAATAAGAGAACATGTATGAGTATTGTCTTGTCGTTCTAATGTTATAAAGTATAATGTTATTCCAGAATGTATTCAGTTACAGCCCGCCGTGCTACTTGGAACGTTTTGTTCGCAGTAGCTGAATCTTAACCAACAGAATGTATTACTTTGTTTAAGAAACAGTTCACGCCACCGTGGGAAGATTGTAACGTAGATGTAATAATTATTTCCCTGCAAAAGAAAAAAGTATGTATGAGATAACAGAGCTGAGGGCAACATATGATTGTATAATTAGCAAATTACCTACAGAAAATACTCTACATGTAGACACAGAAATCACAATAGCGTAATATATCAAATGAACAAATACACAAGAAAATCCTAGCGAGGGCAGTAGCACTCCAGGTAGTAATTCTTTTAACCATGTCGTGGCTCAGTTGACTAAGGTGCAGCTGGGAACATCCCGTGCGTAGGTTCGAATACTCATCTCGGCCCTTGTGGATTTGTTTACTCTACATGCATATTGTGATGTCGTCAGTAGCTAGGGACGGAAAGGCAGGGTGTGGAGTCTTGATTAGAGAATACACTGACATCGGCACTGTAGATACTGTTATTGGACGCCGCTTAACTGACAATGTCTCTACAACGCAGGGTTCTTCACCCTGTATTAGCAGGATTACAGGACGTAGTCAAATGTGGTAAAAATACCTGTTTCTTTATTGACAGTAGAGGAGCGTTCCAGTCTTTAGAGAGCAGAGCAGACTTAGGATCCCCAAGAAATGCTATGAATGAGGTAATGAGGATGGAATTCAAATTACAGAGAATTGGGGATAGAATACCAGAGATAAATGTAGGTTCGGCGGTTAGACTTAAGAGAGGTGCAGGAGCTAACGAATTAATCCTCATTATCCTCTCAGATCAAAAGGCGGGAAGAAACGAACCATGCAAAAAAAGCACCGCTCCTGTGCCAGGTAAGTCCACCACGGGCTCACCATAGCCCATGCTACTTGCCCCGCTCCTGTGCCAGGTAAGTTACGGGCTCACCACAGCCCGTGCTACTAGGAACTTGTTCCCAGTAGCTGAATCTATAACAACAACAACGAACAATGCAGGGAGAGGTTACGACCTCTCCGTCGGGTGCAATCGCACCTCTACTATTGATACTGGTAATGGCTCTAAAGGGCCACCACTTACGGGCTATTCATGCCCGTGCCACCTTTTGGGTGGCTTAATCTTCATCAATCAGTCAATCGAATAATACAGTTTAAAGTACAAGAGAGGATATATGAGAACCTTATGCTCTAATGATTATTAAAGCACACATTAGAAAATTGGAGAAACGACGACGTTTCAGCCATTTGGTTAATATTACCACACAACTTGATTATGATCCAGGACGGACCGAAACGTCGTCGTTTTTCCAATTTGTGATGTGTGATTTGGTCATCATATACCTTCAGCCACGTTATTGTGACTCATCGTCTGCATCCTCCCATCTTCCACATTCTTCTACCCCCTCTCCCCTCCTTCCCTCTCTCCCTGTCTCCTTCCTTCCCTCTCTCCCTGTCTCCTTCCTTCCCCCCCTCTCTCTCTTTCTCTCTCTCCCTCTCTCTCTCTCTCTCTCTCTCTCTCTCTCTCTCTCTCTCTCTCTCTCTCTCTCTCTCTCTCTCTCTCTCTCTCTCTCTCTCTCTCTCTCTCTCTCTCTCTCTCTCTCTCTCTCTCTCTCTCTCTCTCTCTCTCTCTCTCTCTCTCTCCTCTCTCTCTCTCTCTCTCTCTCTCTCTCTCTCTCTCTCTCTCTCTCTCTCTCTCTCTCTCTCTCTCTCTCTCTCTCTCTCTCTCTCTCTCTCTCTCTCTCTCTATCTCTCCCTCTCTCTCTGGGAAAATTTAATATTATGAAGTGTTAAATCACTGCAACAAAACTCTCCAAATAATAAATCCCTGGCAAATGGGGGGATCTTTGTCAAGCCGCCGGCTTCCTGTCCTTTTCCCTTTTTGAGGGCACTAGTATTAGCCCTCAAGTAACTTCAGGTAAATAATTTGACAAACGTCATACACTGGTCGGTTAACGTACCACCCCATATAGGCATACAATTATGACGTCATAGTGACGTCATATACTGGTCGGTTAACGTATAATGAACCCATATTTGTATATAACACAACTATGACGTCTAGTGAAGCCACACATTGGACGTTTACAATATAATTCACAATATAATCAACTAATGTACAATTAAATTAAATGAATTATTATTATTATTAAATATACTTATGACGTCATAGTGACGTCACGAACCTTGTGTTTACCATATATATAAAATAACACATAATCTTTTATATCGTCGTCGCCCCTAAATCAACACAACAACATAATCTCTTATTTTGGTTAGGTTAGGACAGGATGGGTTAGATTGGGGATGGTTTTGTTTAGTTTACTTAAATAGCAATGGCGTATATTGGCGAAAATTTTATGAGGTCTTAGAACCGATTCCTTTCCCCAACTTTTTTATTTATTAATTTAAGATTTGGCTGAAATAATGTGTGCAGGCCTAATAGTTTTATAAAAAAAATTATTCACTAAAACCTTTCGGGATGAAGTCGTTAAATTATGAAATATGCGTATGTATTATTATATATAAAATGTAATTGTTCTTGCAGTTCGCTTTTCTATTGTCACTTGACACCATATTTACGCCCTGTTCATACACCTTTTAAAAATATTAATTCTTATTAGTTTAATCTATAAATAATGTAATTGCTTCCAAATTATATAACATAAATGTAATATTAATTAAAATACAGAAATCGTTGTTAAGCATTAGTTTTCGTGAGAAAATAATAGGTTGGGAAAGAGATGTGATAGGTGTAGTGGCGGCGGCTGGACCAATGGGGTGCCGGGAGGCTCTGGGGATTGGTTTTAAAAACAAGAGAAAGAGCGTCAGAGGATTAGCATCTGAGAAGTCTCTGTGTGGCCTCACATGGTCGCCTGTTGTCTTAGTTCTCGTCTGGTAGGCACCAAGGGTCGACCTCCTCCCTGCTCTGGATAAATCATAGGTGTCAAACAGCCAGTTTGATGACAAGGGTAGTGGAAGGCCTATGAGTGCTGGCTACGAATGAGTGAATTATTCTCAAAGGATTGCTTCTCTCCGTCATACACAGAAGGTAAGCTGGCTGGTCCTTACAGCCAAGCTGGCATATGTTCTCTGTTTATAATTACTTTATCAGGATTGTGGGTTTATTATGGTAATCAGCTGACTAGCCTGGGCCTACATGTCAATATTTCAGTGCAACAATAACCTGGGCCTGTATCTAGATTCTATAGTGCAACATAATAGCAAGTGTTTGAATGATCCCTGAATTTAAATATGTAAAAGCTACACAGCTAGCTCTAGCACTCTTAGGTTGGGTTATCTGGCATTAATGACTATATCATCTTGCACACAAGGTTGTACTGTATGTATAATTATTGATAAATGTGCACAGTATTACTATTTACTATTGTTTACTATTTTGTACTGTACAAAAATGCAGTATAGTGCTATATATATTACTGTACTGTGACATTACCCTTTATAGGGCACATTTATCCCCATTTATCCCCAATTTTTTTAAATTGGTAGAAATAGAATCTCATGGAGTCATACAAGAAAAATGTAAAAAAAATACCACAGTTTAAATGGTTTTCTTTAATTAATATACAATATTTGGATTTAAAGGCAGTTTTGTTAATGCATGCAGATTAGGTGTTACTGTACTCGTAGTAATGAGGACCATCGTAAGTATATTGATGTAAAAGTCAATTAGAAGTAGAAATTGGTACTATTGAATATGGACAAACTGGAAAAGTTTGTATTAATGCTGAAAAGAAAAATGTTAAATGACACTTTTACATGTCACTAAAAAAAAAAAAATTGTAAAAGAATACTTTGCAAAAAGTAAGGGGAGGGGGGGAGGGAGGAATGCAAGAACTTGCAAGTATGTCTTTTTGTGTTGTGTTCACATTGGGAGATTACTGGGTGAAGGGGTTGTTGGGTCCATGGAGAGTGGTGAAGTAAATTTGCTAACGAACAAAACTAAGTAACTATTTGCGATGATCATGTTATTGTGTTAAGAGGGTTTACAGTACAATACTGTATATGGTTTGTTGGTTCACTTTAGTTTACACAATGTGTTGAATAACTATATTTACGTAATTTACAAAAAATGGAGTACTGTATAAAGGCATATGATGTAATATGACTGCTATATTGCAAGTAAATTATTCCTGACATAGCTCAAAGAAAGTGCTTTGCAACCCACTCCTTTGTTGCTATTATTTCTGGTAATGTCTAGAAAAAAATCAAACACCAGCGCCAAATGCCAAATCATGATTTGACGATACAGTAATTGCCTTGCTGGTGGTACGAGATAACCTCATTTGTAGTAAGCAATTAAAAAATGTGGATTTTTTTTCATTGGGGTCCAAGTTAGCTCTATTACCCCCATACTGATGTACAGTATTATAGCAAAATTTACATCATTTGTATAAAAACTGAGTGGTAACTAAAACATATGATACAGAGGACCACTTGGTTTGCATACCCCTCGGGGATGAGACCCGCCGGTTACCGTGTAAGTTCGTAAATGATAACTGCACTTTAGTGGTTGACTGCACATTTGTTGACTAAACCACAAGTTTAAATTTGCTGTTGAAGACATCTTCTGGTGTGTGGTTTAGTCTTCATATCTTCAGCCACGTTATTGTGACTCATCGTCTGTACATGTGCTGTTATTTCATTGTATATTGATTATGCAGTTGATACATATCTTTCATAGACTAATACTTACTGTCTGCTTTTATTATAGGTTCTATAATGGAGGAATTTGAAAATGAAATTATAGATGAGCTGCGGCATATAAGTGCCGAGCTCAAAGAGATATGGAATGAAATTGGATTCGATGCCAAAAATTGCTCGGTGCGGCAGAATCGTACTAGAGAACTTGTTACGGTAAGTAGGGCAAACTATTCCAATGCATTGCAGTGTCCGAGTATATACAATTTCCATTCATCACTAGCCCTAGCCCTGTGTGAGGATTAAAAAAATATACAGTACCATATTCAAATTTTAATGGGGATTTTTGCATATTGATTGCTGGTTAAGAATAGCCTTCACTTTGCTGAGAAATAGACAAATATTAGAAATTAATACATAACATTATATGGAAGATTGATGATGATTTTGGAAAAAAATTGGTGTTAGCAGTAGGGATTTATTGAGCATGCAATGATTGAAATGTGAAAGGTAGTGAGTACGTGAGGATTAGGGGGGAGAGAGAGAGATGTACTGTATATACGAATAGAACGTTCATCGACTTGCTACAGTATATGAGATAATAATTTGTAATGGGTGGAATGAGTAATTTTTTGCAAGTTATAATAAACTGTAGTTGACCCCCAAGACTACATTGTATTTAGCAGTGTGTATCATTTTATAAATCAATTTGATATAAGGGCTCATTACAGTACCATAAAGGCTTTATTACATGGCAAAGGAATGTAGTAATGAGTGAAGCTGTGGAGATTGGGTGTTAATTTGCCCATGTTCACAGTGTCTACTTGTAATTTGCTTTGATATTACTACAGTACTATACATTTACTTAGTTTTATAGTAGTGTATACTCTTGCAAACTGCAGTTAGACATAAAATTAAAAGAAGAGGAGTTTGTGTGTACATTCACATAAATTAGCAATCCCTCTAAATGTATATGAAGAATAGAATGCAGTGCAGTACTCAAAATCTATCTATTTAATTTGTACGTCTAGACTTGTTTTTGATAAAGATGTATATAATTGACAAAATAAGGAATGGAGGGGCAGGGGCAGAAATGGCAATAGGACTAGGATATGATAGTAATTTGTTAAAGAAATGCAGTATTGATTGATAGTGAATGGTAATGTTGATAATCAATGTCGGAAATAATTCCTGGCTTATGATTTTCAGAATCTTCTGAAGGATGTGTTGGACGGTGAAACTTCATTAAGGAATCAACTTGCCAAAAGTATTGAAGACAATGGCAAAGAATTCTATCACCTAAACAAGGTAATGTATAAATAATTTATTCTTTAGTTGTGGATTTATGAATGGTTTCCCTACCAAAAATTTACTTTGTATTGTCTTTAGTGATATGTTTGCTTTTTGAATGAGAACTTTAAATTGTTTTATAAAATAGCTTAGTTGACATTAAATTACATTTACCTCTTGTTAATTTTTCATACATGTCACATATTCTGTTTAAACATAATTGTTTGTAAATTACATAATGTAAATTAATACATGTAAATTATGTATGTGTAAATTACAGGCTTAAGATTATTTCTATTTCTTTTCTTATGAACAGGAGTTGGGCATTTGTCTTCCTGACCCAGATGATACATTGAAGCTATATGATCTAGAACGCTGCCTTCGACATAAAGTAGCCGAGCTACGCACAGAAGTCAACAAGCGACGTGACACACTCAGAGACCTACGGGACAAAGAGAAGGTAGGAATAGTTACTTTCTGCACAGACATTCTTTTCAGGCATTTGTACATAGTAATGCAAGAACAAGCACTGATGTGTATTTAAATATTCTTGCCTTGTGTTTACCTTGTATAGGTTCTGAGGATCTGTCTCCTGGTTGGTGGTCTTGTCAACCAGGTTGTTAGATGCAGCTGCTTGCAGTCTGACATGCAGAACAAAGCCCAGTTGATCGGGTATCCTTTGGAGATGTCTTGCGTTCTCTTGAGCACCGTGAGAGAGATCGGCTAGTTGTGCCCGTTATGTTTAGAGGAAGTGTTGGAAGTCTTGGTACCTTAATATTGTCAGAATTTTCTGTGTACCTGTACCTGTTACATCCCTGCTTTTCAATGGGGCTATTTTGCACTTTCTGCCAGACCTGGTTTCATAAGGAGTCATTTCAATTTGCAGATTTGAAGTCAGTCCCGTAAAAAACAATTTCCATTTTGGCAATATTAATCTTGTCTGCACTCTTGATAATACAAATGGGAAATTTCTCGAAGGAATAATTTAAAATTTTCACTAAATTGCTTTCCTTTTTACAAAAAGACAGATTTCTGATCCCCAGGCTACATTTTGCCTCCTTAAGAGTGGCAGATTCTGGTCTTGGTCCTTGGCAAATGCTCATGATTTGCAAAGACCTTGTTTGCTTCCAGGGTTGTATTTTAGGGGGCTACGAAGTGACTACCGAATTTCATTTTATTTAATACTTAATTTCCTGCCTTACTTTGAACCTTGTTGTTTTAATCAGTTTGATGTTTTAATGCAAGTTCTGTATTTGTGTGTGCATTTTAAAAACAGGCCAGCTAAATCAGTTAGTGATCTTACTGCTAAGGCCTGTATTTCACTCAGATTAACCGATGCTCTAAATTATTTGTTAGAGGGCCTAATTAGATACACATCCACATTTTGAGTGTACTGTACAGTAAGAACTTGTGCATAGTTTGCCACGTAACTTATGGGTATAACACAGAAAAGGCTGTCCAGCCTGTGTGTTCCTGAATGTAAACGTTCTGAGCTTCCCCAGGCTCAGCAATGCAAAAAATGTTTACAATCATTTAATGTTTTCCAAGTTATTTGTTGGATTATAACTGGTGTGAAAATATTTGCAAATGAATTCTCTAGAGAATAGATGCAAGAACAAAAGCATATAATATTTATAATTGATTATGCATAAGGAGATGAATATATTTATGTTAATGAAGAGCAATTTGAGGACACATTTTAATGTCATCAGAATGTGAAAGTGTTTATTAATAAACTGTGTTCTGCAGATATCACTTGTGGTAGGAGTGAACTTGGTTTAATTTTATACTTTTGTTTTAGGAACTGTGTGACCGTCTCTCAGAAGAACCTTGCATTATTCCCAAGAAACCCATACCATCCAAGGAGGATATGGAGGAAGTGGAAAGGAGAATTCGTACTCTAGAGCAGGAGAAGGTATGTTTTCAACTTTGATGAAGTTAATATGTGCATTATTATGAGGCTATAATTGTAAACACTATTGCAATAAAAGGTGGTTTGATACTTGGTATCTAGCAGCCCTTTTGGCAATATCCCCAGCTTTGGGCAAAATAATGGCAATCAGTTTTGGGATAGTCTTATGAAGAAGCAATGAGAATTCATTTATTTAGTAGGGTTCTTCCAGTTAAACCAGCTATTAGCCTTTACCATCTCCTTCAGGGTGTTTTTGGGGAGAATTTGACATTGGAGAAAAGTAGGTTTTTAAATTAATAATTTATAACTTTCAAACAAATTTTGAATCTGTTGCTACTTTCTTATGCCAACGTTTTCTCATAATTTAATTATTCAAATCTGATATTTTTTGCTGGCAACTACAGTAGTGTACTGTAAGGATCTTTTGGCAACCAGGGACATTTGATTCCTGGAATTGCTAAAAGGTAGGGTGTTGTAATTTTTTTTCCAAAACTTCACTTAAAACAAATTGGGTTTGATGTGATATTCCAGTTTGTGATATTTATTTTTATCAATGGTTTTAACGAGTACATATTTGCTCTTTAACAGTATTTGTTAAACAGAGCACAAAGACTGATAGCAAAGTAGAGAAGCGCCAAGAGGAGACTTTGACCAAATAAAGCCTACAAGACTCGTCTTGGTGTTTCCCTACGTGGTATATTTGTGATGGATGTGGTAAATGCTCATTTCTAAACACTTTCATTGTTTAATTTATAAAGTATAAATGTGCCTGGAAAGTGGCTGAAGAAATAATTGGAAAGCATTTTATTGAGTGAATTAAATGGGTGGGACTTTGGCAGGTCTCCCTTTTTTCTATTACATTTTATTTGACATTAATGTATGCATGTGCCAAAATTTTCCTCTTCACGTATATTTATTACATAAAACCTTAAATGGCTCCAGTTGCTATTTGATATTACTTCTGTGCTTGAATCGGCATTGGTTTTTTTAATTTTTATGTAGTGTTTGTCAGGTGTAGCTTGATGTAGGACTTTCAATTAAGAGCTTTTTTAAAGGTTAACAATGCTGTATACAGTGTGAAATATGAGCATCACGCATGAGTGATGCTCATTTACATGTTGTATACATAATGCACACGATACATAGTGATATCTTGGCCTTCATGTTTCATGCATCATTTACAAAGACTAGTTATTTTATTTTAAATTTTTCAGACTAATCGGGAAAAGACCTTTAAACGTCTTAAGCGCAACTTGTCGAGTCTTTTGGAACAGCTTGAACTAAAACCCAGTTATCCTTTTGAGCACAGCATCCTCTCTGACATAGAAGGTTTATTCATTCTTTCTTGTGAAAATCTTCAAAAGCTGAAACAACTGAATGAAGATTATGACCAAAAGGTGAGATAAATGTTAACTATAATATACAGTACATCTTGATGTATAGTTTGATAGTGCAAGAATCTCTCGTGCTAGATGTAAGATCTGTCACTTGGTTCTACAAATGCCCAACAATGAGTATGCAGACACCTTTCAAGCTGAAGTTTTTGTTCATATGCTTCATATTTAGGTATTCTCAGTATATATAACTTAGAGGGTATATCACATTTATTTTAATTCCTTTACTTTGTGTGATTAGTTGCAATAATAAAATGGCACACTTTTTGCTATTCATTAATTGTATAGACTATATAATTATATATATAGTAGTAATAGTTGGTGATAACTACCCAACAGAAATTAGCTAGTTTGTTTAAATGATTATAAGTTTTTCTTAGTCTGATTATTTTAAGATTATAATGACTGATATTTTATTAGGTGAAGGAAAATGAGTGTGCGTGTCTGCAGCTTCATGAACAGATAAGACTCCTATATGACCGCCTAGAAGTTGACCCGGTTGAGCGAGATAACTTCTTTGCTTCCATAAACAGCCCCACTCCTTCAGTATTGACAACGGTAATTGATGCTTAGTAAAGTCTTTGGAAATGGTATATGGAATAGTTGGGTATTTTTCAATCATTATACAGTATAATTTACAAATCTAAAAATGTTTTATGTGGGTATTCAATACATATATATATGTTGGGTTTTGTGTAAATTTTATAATGTTCTCTCCCTCAATAGTGCCTTTTCACTGCCATTTCATACTTGGTGGTGAATTTAAATGTTTGATAAAAATTGCACTGAAATACTGCATAGAGATATCAGAAAGGGACCTATAAATGGCTTTGATAATTTTGATAGGGCGAAAGTATGATGTTAAATATAGGATCGAGCTTTTATAAAAGTAGAAGAGCGTGTGCAAGAATTGGGAACTAGTAGCCTAGTTTGAGGCAAATGAGTTGTTGTAAATTTAGCACATAATGGTAAATAGTAATAAAATAAGTGCAATACAGTATATCAAACTTGGTGTAAGTAGATGATGGTCCTTTTGGCAGAGTAGCAAGAAATTTGTTTAGAATTGATGAAACATTGTTGTGTGTAGAGTTGAATGCAAATGTTTGAAAAGTGACTTACTAATCGTAGAGGAGGGAGAAATTTGTGTGAAATCTGCTTCTATGGAAAAGTGTTGGTATCTGTCTAGTTGTAATAACCTTGATTTATGAAGGAAGAATTTGTACATATGAAAGAGCTGAAAGAGTCTGATGATAGTCTTGAAGGGGGAAAATAAGATATGGCTCCAGGAATCTAGTGTTTATAACTATGGGGGCTGTCCAGAAGTGGACAAGACGTGTTATCCCACAGCCACCAAAAACGCATTATGCAGTACAATACTGTATTTAAAATACACTAACATAACTTTTTGGATATTTTTTTTTTTTCTCTGTAGTACATTACAATTCGGGTTAAAAATAATTTAAACCATAGACAACATTATAGTAAAGCACAGTACAGAATGACTATTTTATAAAGGGTAATTACCACGGGTTCAGGTGGTCACCCTCGTACAATCTTGGAATGATTAGGTGAGTGATGGTTTTAATTCAGTAAAGTTGGGGCTTCAGCAGCCGAGTAATATTGAGACACTGGGGCTCCAGGATTTACTAGGCTTATGCTTCTTTTGCCCATCACTATTTTGTTGGGTAGCTGCTGACCTTGTCATTGCGTACCTGTTGGGACGCCTCGTCGTCTGCTCGGTTATCACTTGTACTGATTTGGGTTGATCTTGCTTGTACTGCATTCGTTACTCTCAAATGATATACTTGATATATATTGCCCTAGGGATTCATTTCTTGATGGCCCTATGTTTACTAAACTTTTTTCTTTGCAGCTTCAGCGAGAACTGGAGCGTCTGGAGGAGCTTAAACGCCAAAATATGTCTAGATTCATTAACCAATTAAGACGTGAATTGGAAATTTTGTGGGAGAAATGCCACATTTGTGAAAGGGAGAGAAATTCATTTCTACCATACTTTACAGGTAAATTTGTATTGTACTGTACTATCTTTTATAAAGGAAAAAAAAAGGAAAGAAATTTATGAAAATATTGCACAATAATAGAAAGCATCTAGTATGTCAAATACCCTGCTGCTATGTTAGTCCAGTGAAACTGCATTTGTAGACCTCTCTGTGCATAGATGTTCCAGGTCATATTGCTTAGATAAGTAATGGCATTCTGAGCATTAGGCATTTGACTGAAGAAGATAGGTATAATAAAGGCCCCAGTAATTGACATCTTTTTCACATTAATGCAAAGTTTGTTTATATGAATGTTACACTATCATAATAGTTGTAAATGCATAATTTTTTAGCAGACATTACTGTAGTCAAATTAAAAAAAATGAAATTAAACTGAATGTAGTGTAGGTGATGTTATTAGTTTTACAATGACACTATATGTTGGATGATTGGACAACTTTTGTTTTTTTCTATATTACAATACAGTAATTTGACAATGCTTAACCCTTGAAATGTGCAGAAGGATAAATCAGCATTATCTATGGGAAACCCCCCCCCCCCCTTCCCCCAAGAAAGTTTAAAAAGTAAAAAAAATATTTAGGTATTTGTTTATATGTACAATAATCATTATTTTTCAACAGAGGGATACACGGAGGAAATTCTTGAGGCTCATGACAATGAGGTTATGAGGCTTAATGCATATTTCAATGACCACAAGCAAATCTTTATGAAAATAAAACAGAGACATGAGGTATGTATGCTATAAAGTGGATACATTTCTATTAGTATTTTATCAGGTATACGTATTGTATCGATATATTGTATCGCTCATCTCTGACTCTGAACTTATGGGGATTGATTTTCAGGTCTTTGGCCCTGCCTCTTGACACATGTTTTATGTATGTAGGATACCTTAAATGTGTATAAATAACACCTTAAATAACACTTTGAATTCAATAACAGTTTGCATTTTGTTACCAAAGGATTTGTTAGATGCATGGGGTGGAAGACAGCCTTCCTGTCTCCCTACTCCACACAGCCTTCCCCATCTGCCCACCTTTCCCTTGCCGCACATGTAGGTTTTCCCATCTTCCCCCCCCCCCCCCCCCTCCATTCCCCCCATCATAAAAGATTTTCAGTACGCTACAGTGGAACCTCGGCATTCAGATTTAATTGGTTCCTGACTGGGATGAATGCTGAAAAGATTCAAATGCCTAACAATGTTTTCCTGTAATGAATAATGTAACTTGGATTAATCCATTCCAGGTCACAAAGATAAATATATTTATACAGTAATTAAATAAAATTACTGTAAATGCCAACAGTATGTACTTTACCTGCACTTAGGAGAGTTCATAGCATATGTGGAAGGTGGCGAGGCAGAGGAAGAGATGTTATTCTTTGACAGGGGGAGGAGGGTGTCTCCCCACTTATAACTTCTGGTAGTTGTGCTTCTGGGGTTTTTCTTTTGTCTTATTGTTTCCCCTCATTAGACACGCTGGATGCTTTTCTTAAAAGAAACTTGTCCAAGGACGATTGCTTTTGCCTGTACTTTAAAAGTTTCTAAAGTGAGACATAGCATTGTCATTCAACAGGTTTATAACACTCGGTTTTGTTAGAGGTGATATTTTTCAAGAAAACTTTACCCTCCTTTCCCCCCCCTTCCTATTTTGCACACATTTAGTTTATTAGAGAACCAAATTTAGACATACAATCTCTGTAACAAGCAGACACACGAACACCACATTCATATTTAGCCATTTCTTTTTAGTGTGTAGTCTGGTCAACATCTTTGAGTTAGCCTTCAGTATTCCTACAAACTGCTGTGAAAAATATACGCTCCTGTGAATTTACTTTTTTTTGGGGGGGGGGGAAGGTTTAAACACCCTTTAAGCTTTCCTGCTAGGGTTAAACCTAGGGTTAAGGACATGAATTGAGATTAGAATACCAAGTTATCACTTAACACTTTCGCGCTAACCGGACGCACCGCTGCGTCCTGTTTCGTCTAACGCCACCGCATAGTGGACATAGTTATGTCCTCTTTTTAAAATATTTGTATAAAATTCAATTTTAATCCGATTTCATTGGGGTTTGTTTCAAACGACGCGCCATGAAGTTCTTTCTCGCCACTAGGTCGCCCGGCGCGTCGGCCTACCCGGTCACGTGACGGGCCCATTGTTTTCGTGTCACGTGTCGTGAGTCGATCACGCTCCCCTCGTGCGCCAAACTCGAGCATTTTTACCCGTTTCCGTGTGGATTATACCCAATTACTTCATCAAAAATGGATCGAGGTCAAGGCCCAAGCACTTCTACGCCCAAGGAAGCCTCCAGGTCATTGAGAGTGGACAAAATAACCCAGATTTTTAAGAAGTGGAGCGGAGTGAAGCTCACACCAACGAAAATTCCAGGCCTTGTGGAGGATTTATCAGAAGCTGAAGGTGATGTAGAGGTATTGGAGGAAGATTTTGGAACCCACAACGATTATAGTGGACCTAGACCTAGAGGGAATGATACGGCAACGAGTGATGAGGAGACTGAGGCCCTCACCGAGGAAGAGGAGGCACCGCGACCCCCTCCTCCTCCTCCATCTCTGCGCACACGTGGTGCATCTAGGCTACCTAGAAAAGTAGCTACCAGAAATGTTGCTCGTCGTAGGAATACACGACAAATTGCGCCAAGTGATTCTGAAAGTATAAGTGATGAGGAAAGTGATGAGGATTCTTTCGAGCCTCCTGAAAGGCGTACACGTACAGTACGTACTCTGCAGGCTGGGGCTGGTGAGGGCTGGAGTCGTAGCAATACTCCTCCAGTTGTTGATGATTTTACTGGAAATCCTGGACTGAAAATTCCCAAGCCTACTAGTGCACTGGCTTATATTCAATTGTTCATCACGCGTGCCCTCCTTGAGTTCTTGACCGTTGAAACAAATTTGTACGCCTCGCAGTTATTCCGGATGGCCAATGAAAATGGATCAGATATTTGGAACCCAGTGAAGGCGAGTGAAATGGCGCGATTCCTAGGACTGTTCATATTGATGGGCATAATTAGGCTCCCAACTATGAGGATGTATTGGCAAACAGCAAAGCCATGGCATGCTCGTTTCTTCAGCTTGTTCATGACGTCCAGACGATTCCAGCATATAAACCAGTTTTTCCACACATTCAATACCAATGCAGTGCCTGTGAACAATCGTGATAAGTTGATAAAAGTGAGACCAGTGATAGATTACTTGAAAGACAGGTTTGCTGAAGTTTACATCCCCAAGAAAGAGTTGTGTTTGGATGAGGGTACAATGCCATGGCGAGGCCGACTATCCTTCAAAGTGTACAATCCAAACAAACCAGACAAGTATGGTGTGAAACTTTATATGCTTGCTGAATCTGTCTCTAGGTACATATATGACTTTGACGTATACTCGGGTATTGGTAAGACGATAGTGGATACAGTAACGGGGTTGATGCAGCCTTTAGTGAACCAGGGTTACCATTTGTACATGGATAATTACTACAACTCGGTTACCCTGACAGAAACATTGAGAGAACTTGGGGTGTACACATGTGGCACAATTAGAATGCTACGTGGCGCCCCAAAGGTATTGCAAGCTCTAGCCAAGGGTAAACTTCCACTTGATACACCGTATACCGCCGCAAAAATAACACCTTCATTCTCCTGTGGAGAGACAAGCGAGTAGTCTCAATAATTACCAACATCCACAATGCAGACACTCGGCGAGTTCAGTGAAGGAAACGAATTCGCAAACGAGACGGAACAAGTGGAATACAACAGTGAACAAACCGACTGCAATTTGCGAGTACAATAAGTTCATGAAAGGTGTGGACCACTTCGATCAAATGGTTAAATATTACCATTTTACCAGGAAAACTCGCAAGTGGACCAAAAAGATTACCTTTTATTTCCTGCAAATGGCATTGCATAATGCCTTTGTTTTGTACAAATACAACACAACTGATCGAAAAAAGCTAACATTGCTACAGTTCCACGCGGTGGCAATCTGGGCCCTATTGCACTGGGACACAGAGGAGTGGCCTAAAACATCATCTCAACACTTGCGGCACACTCCAGACATAAATGATGACACAGCTTCTGCCAATGCTGACGCCATGCCAACTCCCGGACCATCTGGTGTGAGGCAGCCTTTGTTCACTACACCACCTCAAGATGAAGCAGACACCGAATCTGAACCCGACATGTCTGCCACACTGCCAGTTGACGAAACTGTTTTGTCAGATGAATCCGACTCTCCTGCAAATGTTACACCTCCAGCGAGAAGACCTGGCCCTATTGTTGATTCAGAAAATCGCATGAACACAAAACTGAAACATGAAATTTACAGACTGCCCAAACATCTCAAGTGTCATGTATGCGCACGGTCCGGTAAAAGGAAGGACACGAACATAGGATGCAGGACCTGTGGTGTTGCACTCTGTGTTATTCCCTGCTACACCAATTACCACCGGAAAACGGTGTATTGGGTGGTGAAGAAGTAACCACCCGCAACAGCTTCACTCCACCTACAAACCATCTGTTGAGCAACTTCAGGAATGAAGAACCTGAAGGTGGAGTGAAGAACAAATGCTCAACTTACTGTTCCACAACCAGCCTTCCCTTGGTAAGTACACCTATTTGGTCCAAGTTTGTGTAGTATAATTTAGCTCATAGAACATTCTATTGTGAAAACATTGCCACAAAAATGAATGACATACATACAATAATAATATCAGAACAGTGAAATAAGTATAAACTTTCAAAGCAACGTTTCGCGCATGTGTCGTCCGGTCACCGTTACCGGGTAACAGTGCGCCCACTTCCCACACTCTTGCGGGTGGGCCGCGACCATTATTCTACGATTATATTCATATCACCGTGTTGGGAATTTTATTGGGAGTCCATTGATACCAAAATTAAGGCTGTAGGACAATTGTAGAGGTGATAATAATCCCAAGAGTAAAAACATTTTGTTGCTGTTGGGCGCTCACGGCGACTCGTCTTCGTAGTTATTTATTTCGTGCTGGTATCTCTATAGCTTTCGTGACTTTTTTTTACTGATGTTCTTCTAGAGAATTTTATTGCGAACACGTTGGTACCAAAATGAAATACGTAGCATGAGAACTAAGGTCAGAAGAGTAAAAAGAGTATACACATTTTTGTTTTTACGCTTAAGCGATAAAAACACCGCGCGCACATAAGATTGGCTCCCTGACCTTCGCCGAGAGCGCAAAAGTGTTAATTTTATAATTCTTTATAAAAAAAAATTAATTTAAATATGTACATAAAGTATTGTATGATAATAATTATCTATGATTTAGTACATTATAACTTGGCTCTAAAGAAATCGGTTGTGGGAAAAGAGTAAGTTTATTTATTTTACATATTCTCTTTCAGGTGTGGAATAAATTAGTACAACTGGAAGAAAAGGCTAATGATCCTAACAGGTTGTTTGGTAACCGGGGATGCTCTTTGCTGCAAGAAGAAAAAGAAAGAAAGCGTGTGAAAAATGTGAGTAGTTTTTAAATGTAATAATTTTATCCATAGAATGTGATAACATTTATGGAATAAACTAACATTTATGGAATAAACTGAAACTAGTTGCATTCGGTACTTTAAAGATTGTTTTTCCTATCTTATTCTGTTTTGTATCGCCAACATTTGTTATATTGGCCGCTATTGAAAGTAAGCAGTGTAATCCCATTGATAATATTTTATGATTCTTATGTTCTTTTAAAAAATTATCATTTAGGATGTGAAGTCAAACTGATAACTGTAGGCCATTGCTTTAAATTGTGTAATACTGTAATGAAAATGTTAATTATGCATTGCAGGAACTGCCTCGTGTAGAAAAGGAGCTGGAAGAGCTGGTCCTTGCTTCCGAGGCAAAACATGGGAAGCCATTCCTTATAGACGACAAGACCATATCGGACTACATTACTGATCAGTGGCACAAGTACAATGAACAGAAAGCACAGGAAAAGAAAGTGAGAGTAAGTACTGATACTAGTTATACTCTGAGGTTAGTTATATGCTGGCTATATGAGGATAATTCTGAAAGTTTTTAATATTTAGTAAAGGACAGTTTGAGTATTATGATAGACTTGTATGAACTCCAATTCCTCTGGGGATACTGTTGTGCTTGGTTTGCATTTAATGTACCTGGGATGAATGGTATGTGGAGAGAAATATTTCCCTGAGGGTCGTCGTCTAGTGGCCTTGACGGGGATAGAAAACCAGTGGGTGTTAGATCCCCCCCCCCCCCCCATTGAACATAAATATAAATGTTATAAATGATGATGTGGTGCGAGTGACATCCTAATATTCAGGGTAAATGTGGGTGGTGGTGGGACTAGTATAAATTGAAGTGGGACAGTTTGAGGGGGCTATTTGTGTGGTCAAGAATTAAAAGTAAATTAAGAGTAACAAGATAGGGGATGGAGATGAGTATTTGGAGCGTTTGTATTTGTAATGTGTAAGGATAATGCTAATGATGAGTAGTGGAAGAAGGCACTGACTGGCCATTTTGGTCGGCCTGGCATGCTTTCGATTTTCCCCCAAGCTGGGCATAGGGTCTGTGGTGTCTTCAGTTCTTTCCTGACAGCTGGCTGTAGCCCAAGGGGGGGGGGGGGATTCAAATTTTTTTTATCATTTTTCAACTGCTTCCTTCCATCATGTATAATTCTATACAATGGGAAATATACAGGGTCCCCTCATAGTTCCTGTCATTTTGCTCAAGGGGATTAAAAGGCCGCCTTTTGTTCGGGTCCATTTTCATTACCCCAGCGAGTGATTGCTAGCCTTCTAGTCCCTGAAAATTTTATTTAAGAGGATTAAAAGGCCGGCTCCTGTCTGGGCTGTTTTGCTTTACCCCAGCAAATGATTGTTCGTCTTCTAATTCCCTTTTAAATTTTGCTCGCCATCCCCTTGCCCTGTTAGGTCACCAAAAGACCGCTTCCCATTGCACTTAAATTTCATGACCTCGGTGACCCTGCACAGACATCTCTAATGGTCAATGACGTTGGTTAATCTTCATTTTCTCTGAATTAGTCTGACTTCTGTTATGGTGTATTTATTCCCATTTTCAATATTCATGGCAAAGGGGCTTAAAAGGCCGCCTTCAATCGAGCCTAATGTACAATGACGTCATCCTGTGATTGAATGAATGGATGACTGGAGAAACTACAAGATGGTAAGAAAGTTATACTGGGGGGATATGAATGCTAGTGTGAGGAATGAATACAGAAAAGTTGTTTGAAAGTAGTGTGAGGCAGGTGTAGCTGGGAATGAGAATTTTTCATTGGACGTTTTTGAAATACCTTTAGGCATGGGTTCATAAGTGTAAATGGAGATAAAGGTAAAGGGATGAAATAGAAAAAGATTGTGTTGATAGAGGTTATGTGAAAGGGTTAATAGAACTTGTGAAGCAAGGTATCAGCTAGATGGTGGTGATAACATGTTGCATGAACATGCCATGTCGTACAGTAATCTTTGTGAGCCTTTGATAAACAATAGTTAATTTTTGGCAAATTCACTGGTAGAATAATATATAAATTTCCGTGATACTCATATACCAGGATGATGTAATTATATTTTGGCATAAATAATGTTAACCTACTAAAGTATCGTGTTTATCATTAAATAGTATCATTGGAAATGTCTCGGAAAGTAATGTCGCTTAAAAGATGATTATCATTTGATTGCATGTTATCCTGAGTAGGCAAAGTAGTACTGTACTGTAGTGAACAAAACATACCGATTAAATAACAATGAAATGTAAATGTGCAACCCATCCTCCCACTTAATGCATGTCACTATGAACACTAAATACAGTAGTCCAAATTGATGTACATTGGTGGAATGACAACACTTAAATTTGATGTTTTAACACTTAAGTCTTTTAATAAGAAAGAGGGAATGTTAATTATGATGCACATTGAAATCACACGAACATGATGTATTGGTGAGAAAATATGATTCAATTGGTAATGTGTGTGTGCGCAAGCCAGAAGAGATTAAGGATGTGGGTTTGATCCTGTTATATGAATATCTTCTTAACACTTTCGCGCTCCCGGCATGCATGCCGCAAACTTAAGAGGTCATGCGCCCTGCGTGCGAGCGTGCTGGCGAGAGCGCGGCGACACCGAATGTGTATACTCGTTTAAGTTTTCTCACCTTAATTCTCGTGCTATGTCGTTCGTTTTGGTATTGTTTGCAATAGAATTCCCTACCCTATGCATATAATGTCCTAAAGCCTGGTGTGACTCCCACAGCAAAGCATAAACTCGGCAAAAGTTACCCGTGAGCACACAAAATTGGTAAAATGTGTATACTTGTTTTTCTCACCTTAATTCTCGTGCTATGTCATCCGTTTTGGTATCATTGTGTTCGCAATAAAATTCCCTGTAGGTGTGTGTGCATATAATGTCCAAAAGCCCGGCGTGACTCCCCCACAGCAAAGCTCGTTTACCCGTGAACGAGCACCAATTTGCACTCCGCTGCCTAATGTGTATACTCGTTCAGTTTAAAAACATCAATTTTTGTCTTAAGACTTTCATTTTGGTATCAAATTGTTCACAATGTAAAGGCGCATGTTTCAAAACTAGTCTCATAATAATAGAGCAATAAATAGAATTTTAACAAATATTTTAATTTTGGACGCTCGTTACAATTATTTATCTTTCCAGTGTTCTGACATAAATTTTTCATGTTACATCTCTCATTTTGGTATAAAATTGTTTGCAATATAAAGGCGCGCATTTTAAAACTAGTCCCATAATAATAGCACAATAAATAGAACTTTAACATTTTAACCAAAAACGTATTTATAATCTTTCAAGTGTTCTGACATCAAATTTCGTGTTACATCTTTCATTTTGGTATCAAATTGTGTGCAATTTAAAGGCGCTTATTTTGAAACTATCCCAAAGTTGATCGTATAAAAAATGAATTTTATAGAAATATTTTATGGTTGGACTTGCAATAGTCTAACCCTCTGATTCAAGAGAAAAATTGGTAACTGTCATGTGCGCGGAAGTGTTAAGAGCCGTCCTCAAAGGGCAAAAAAATATCGTGCAGATAGTTCTGGGGCTCTTCCCAGACAATGGCATTTCATTACATTCAGCGCCGATTTTTTTTTGTTTATTTCAGCAAAATAATAGAGTAAAGCAGTTGAACTCGGAGAGTCGTTTAGGACCCAACTCGACAAAAAGGCGTTTGGCTCGTAATGATTCGATGAGGAATTCAAAACTCAGGCGAATTGGAGAGGAGCACTCAATGGCACATTCATCTATTGCTGTAAGTTTGCATATACAGTATATATATATATATATATGAATATATACTGTATATATATATATATATATATATATATATATATATATATATATATATATATATATATATATATATATATATGCATTCATCAAACACTTTAAACATTACATTGTTATATAACCCTACAGTAGTAGCTAAGATGGAAAAATGTTGTCTCCTGGGTCATGTCTAAAAATGTTGGTCTGGTTGAGCAATGACCAATCAGGAGGCCTGATCAAAGACCGGGTTGTGGGCACATTGGTCCTCGGAACCATCTCGTGGTAAGGTAGCTGGGTGTTCTGGTCTCTCTTTCCCTCTCCCCCATCCCTGGGGTAGTTTCTTTTAAATATCTTTGTAAAATCTTTGAAAAATGTCCAGTATTTTCTTCCTGAGCTGTGCATGCAACGTGCACGTGAATCCATCATATTTTAGGAGCATTCCTCCTTTTGCCGTATCCCTCCTCACCTGGTTGATCTTTCTCGGTTCCTCTTGCAGTTACAGGACTTTGCTGCTCTTGTGGGTTTCAATTCACTTTTGGGTTTGGATTGGATTAGGCCTTATGGTTGTGTTGAAGGATTCCTGTTTTTCCTAGCTTCCAAATAACCCTGTTTTCTTTGAGGATTTAGCGTAGTTTTTGCCATACCTTGGATATTTGTAAAGTAAATGGTGGGCTCTGTCCCACTGGTAGTTGCCTTGACTTTCTAAAGTTTAGACTGGTGTGTTGAATGCAATAAAATGCCTCTGACTCCCCTCCCCTCTTACCAGGCATACCAGTTTGTGCTCTGTCGGCTAAAGACTAACCCATGACTGACTGGGAGTTGGGACACCCCCTTTTTGGTGTTTTTATGCACTTGGAGGTTGCCGTTTTGAGGAACCCATTTGTGAAGTCTGTTGGCTAGAGTAGTGCTTCAGTTAGGCAAACCCTGCAGTTGCTTGTATTGTTTCACTTGCTTTTAGGATGCTTAGTGTGGGTTATCAATGAATCCCCAGCTCTGTTCCTGTGGGTAGACCAGGTTCTGGCTGCAGTTTCCACTAGGCAAACAGGACTGATGTGAAGCATTATGAAGCCATCCTAGTGAGAGCTTCAGGGAGCTACTGAGACTGCCAGAAAGAGGCATTTCATTACATTCAAGTTTTGTGATAACATTAATTATTGCTATTATATAACAATAATAATTATTGTTAATATAATTTTGTATGCAACTCATATACGCGCATTTCTCAATTAAATCAGACTCCCGTACGAGGACCCAAGTCAGTGCTGCGAGAGCATGATCAGAATACCATGAAGAACGTAACGACACGTCTCTTCACAAAAAAGGAAGGGTCAAACCTCTCGTCTGTTGAAGTGTCATCGTATTCAAATTTTTCTGTGAGTTGAAGTTATCATCAATTTCTTTTCTAGGAAATGACATCTTTTCCTAGACTGTGTACTTTAGTCTGAAATGAATTACAGTACCAGTATATTTAGCTGGCATTAGAATCATTCATTTTGAGTGGATTTACACTAAACCTAAATGAAAGAAACAAGATGAGAAATCAATTTGGGTAAATAGCATGCTTGTTACTTGTCTTTATAGTAGTAAAAAATAGTTAATATTTTTAAATATTTATTGCCATTTTAAAGCTTGAATATCTGATACATTTTGAGCTTTATTTGAAACAAAATGGCCAGCTCTTAACCACTGTGCTGCGCTGGCCGAGAAAACTCGTTTGCCTACAACTGCACCGCAGAGAAAATGCCAATTTAAGATTTCGTGCACATTCAAAACACGAGTGCGGTTGATTGGGTATGAAATATACTCCTGAGACCTCCAGTGAGAGGTATCCATCTTTGAAAAAACAAATTCCCAGAATGCCTTAGGGCTGCTGTCTGGATCAGTGCCAAGTGAGCAACCATGGGTGGCGCTTGCACCTCTGGCTTCCAACCCCTGTTCGACGCAGTGTTGAAAGATCGTCGTTCTCTGTTGGTGAAATTCGAACCTTATTGTCTGAAGAACATAATGGTCATCAGGGAACCATGTTTTTTTGGGGGGGGGGGGGGAAGGATGTTTTCAGGAAGAGAATTTAACATTTTACAATGGAAAAATTGTTTGCGAACACTTGATTTTCGGCACACAGAAGGAATTTTAGAAGACACGCAGCGTATCACAGTGGTTAAGTATGTTTTAGTTTGTTTCCAACTTTAAAAAAAAAAAAAAAAAAAAAAAAAACACATTGGCAACTAGTGCTTTTTTCCATGAAAACATAACAATTAGATTGTCATTGGAAAGTATATACAAAGCAAGTTATGTACGTGATGTTGACCAAACCACACACTAGAAAGTGAAGGGACGATGATGTTTCCATCCGTCCTGGACCATTCTAGAGTCGATTGCGATAATGATCCAGGACGGACCAAAACGTCGTCGTCCCTTCACTTGTTAGTGTGTGGTTTGGTCAACATATTTCGGCCACGTTATTGTGACTCCTCGTCCGTATATAATTGATTTTGTTGAGGATTTATGATGATGCATTTTTGGCAAGATTAGAATACAAAAAATTGTATTTGGAATTTTCATTAAAATTTATATTAATTTCATTTGATTTTATTAATCTTCACACTTCAAATCAGTAGGCTTTACAAATTGTATAGAAAATATTTTTAAATATTTAAAAGGCAATTTTTTTTTTAAATGCCACAAGATTCATAACGTTTCTAATAAAAAACTTAAAATTAAATTTCTCTTTAAAGGGTTAGCAAACCATCATTTGTTTGGGATCATTGGGAAAGTTTAGATTTTGTATATAAATGTAAATGTTGAAATGTTTACATTGTTTCTATATTAAAAATATATACCCACAAAATTAAAGAGCCTTTGTAAAACCTGTTGTGAAGCTTTCATTATAATTGAATGGAAAAACACTGGAGATTTGATTAAAAAAAAAAAAATTTGTTTTGAGATTTAAGTTTTCCTGCCAAAAATGCATCATCACAAATCCTCAACATTATCCATTTTAATTATATAAACCTCTAATTTCCAATCACCTGTAATTAATCTTATTGGTTTTATTTTCATAGAAAAAAAGATTCGGAGCAATATGCTATTAAATTGCAAACCATACCTTGCGATGTTTTCGTGGCTCAATGTTCGCGTGGACCAGTCCTCGAGTAACCATAGTAACATGGGTGATAGCATTCCATTCACTTAGTCAGAGCCTCGAACACAGGACCACAAACACTACCAACCATGCTTTGAGCAGCCCACAATGGAGGAGGATCCCAGAGACACTTGACCAATTTCCAACTGGGCAGCTCATAGTATGGTCGGTAGGACTTTAGGGTTTCCATTGTTTGTGAAGGTTGTGATGGTCCACTTAAATGAAAAATACGGGTTGGGGTGATTTTCTTGACGAAACAATTTTTTTTCTCCAAATAAAGCTCAAATTGTAGGTGATATTACAGTATAGGCTTTAAAAATAAATATATTTATATATATAGAGATACATATATATAGAGATATATAGATATATATAGATATAGAAAAGGCTAAATATCGAAGCAATATTTTCAAGGGTAAAGTCAGTGTGCTGGCAGAGGTGGTTGGTGTTACTCTTGTGTATAACTTCAATTTTTGTACAGTGAAAATAAATTTGCAATTTTTATTGCCACCAGTAAAATAATTGCTCGTATAACGCATCTTATTAATAAAAATGGCAAATTCATTGGAAATACTGTACTGTACTGTAATATGATATAACAAGAACATTGGAAACCAAACAGCTCAGACATTCTGAAGCCTGGAATGGCTTTGGCTTGGGCAAATTAACACGTGTTTTTGGCAATCTAATGTGTAGGTTTCTGCTATTGTCATAAATATTTGTAACGTTTGGTGGAACCTCTGTACAGCATTTGGATTTAATTGATTCCTGAATGCATGACGAATACCAAAAAGTATGAATACTAAACTTTTTCCCGTAAGGAATGATGTAAACTGATTTAATCTGTTCCAGGCCACAAAATAAATATATTTATGCAATAATTAAATTAAATAAATGCTAACACTACCTGGTTGATTACCTGGTTGATGGGGTTCTGGGAGTTGTTCTACTCCCCTAGCCCAGCCCGAGGCCAGGCTTGACTTGAGAGTTTGGTCCACTAGGCTGTTGCTTGGAGCGGCCCGCAGGCCCACGTACCCACCACAGCCTGGTTGGTCCGGCACTCCTTGGAGGAATAAATCATCTTTCCTCTTGAAGATGTCCACGGTTGTTCCGGCAATATTTCTTATGCTCGCTGGGAGGGTGTTGAACAACCGCGGACCTCTGATGTTTATACAGTGTTCTCTGATTGTGCCTATGGCACCTCTGCTCTTCACTGGTTCTATTCTGCATTTTCTTCCATATCGTTCACTCCAGTATATTATTTTACTGTTCAGATTTGGTACTTGGCCCTCCAGTATCTTCCAGGTGTATATTATTTGATATCTCTCGTCTTCTTTCTAGTGAGTACATTTGGAGAGCTTTGAGACGATCCCAATAATTTAGGTGCTTTATTGTGTCTATGCATGCCGTATATGTTCTCTGTATTCCCTCTATTTCAGCAATCTCTCCTGCTCTGAAGGGGGAAGTGAGTACTGAGCAGTACTCAGGACGGGCCAACACAAGTGACTTGAAGAGTACAACCATTGTGATGGGATCCCTGGATTTGAAAGTTCTCGTAATCCATCCTATCATTTTTCTGGCTGTCGCAATATTTGCTTGGTTATGCTCCCTAAATGTTAGGTCGTCAGACATCATTATTCCCAAATCCTTTACATGCTGTTTTCCTATTATGGGCACATTTGATTGTGTTTTGTACCCTGTATTATGTTTAAGGTACTCATTTTTATTGTACCTGAGTATCTGGAATTTATCACTGTTAAACATCATGTTATTTTCTGATGCCCAGTCGAAAACTTTATTAATATCAGCTTGAAGTTTTTCAATGTCATCAGCCGAGGTAATTTTCATACTGATTTTTGTGTCATCTGCTGTGGGGGTTTTCTTTTTTGCTTTCACGACTGCAATGCGTACGTCGCCAATGTACATGTGGCAGACGCTGCACGAAGCTGTCGGAATTTGCAGAATAGAAAATAAGAGAGCAACCGTACAGAGCCTGGGAGCAAGGTCGAGTTAGTCCTCGAGGGTCTCTTCTCAGACTAGCCTCACCTGGTCCTGGTCCACGTTGATCGTTGGAATCTCCTCAATGATTTAACACTTTAAGGGACTCCTAGGGTCCTCATCACATTTTTAGTTTAGTGAATAATAGGCAACTCGGTGTTGAAGACACTGGAGCTGAGGGCTTCAGTATTTGATTGGCAGTATTCAGAAGTGGATCAACGGAAACACCGCATAAAGCTTAACAGTAGTTTATTTACTAACTTGACCACTAATACACAGGGTGCTTGATTTACTTTAGATTGGCGTCAGCAAAGCTATGGTTATATTAGCGAGACTCTTGACGTCTGGCTAAACGACTCGTATCCACTCGTGGAGAAACGCCTAACTTAACACAGTTGACAGCCAGTCATTAACACGGCAACTAACTGCCGGTATCCAAAGGGATCACAAGAGTTCCAACCGGATACTCGGTAATGATGATATGCAATAAATCAACAACTACACTGTCAATGGGACAGGCAATAACATGCACAATAATATTATCACACAATAACTAAATGTGTGGTGTATGTGAAGGTCACATTCACACAGTGAAATGCAGTGATACCACACAGATAAACATGCATTAACCGTCGATTCACCTATAACCTGTGACAGGTATGAGAAGGTGAGAGCTGTGGTTGATCCCTCAGATCAACACAGACACAATAAAACAATGACAAGATTTTGTACTTACAGATAGGGTACCTTTCCTTACTCACTCACTCACTCAGGCACATTTATACAAGCACTCGTAGGTGGCCTGACAGCTGGTTTCGCTCGTAGACACGGAGGGTACTTGCAGTAGGGTGGGCTGTATGCTTAACACACACACGCGCACACACTGGCACTGGCGGCGAATAAGGTGGTGACGTCACGTAGTATTGGGGGCAGCGGCAGGCGCTCGAGGCACAGAGGTACTAGGGTACTGAGGTACACGCTTGGGACGAGTGGCGGATGGCGGCTGCTGTGGTACCATGCAGGTACACTTGTGGTAAAGTCACACACAGGTTACTTAGGCGGCGGCACTGCCTTTGGCACTGTCGCTCACAACGATCTTTGTCACCAGGGGTTACCTGATACCAGTCTGTTTCGCTCTGGAGATTTGTCACTTTAGGCTTCTGAACCATATATTCACACTTGTGATTCTGGGCGAGTGTGATATATTTACCAGACTCGGAGTTAACTTGACCG